ATTTACTACTAGATTGGCGATTCATTCATTCAAATGCATTCAAAAGTGTCCATACGAGGAATCAGCTGTAGCGCCCATTTGTGATTTTGCACGTCCATTAAATTACATAAATCTTGCATTTATATAATAATAAATAAAGTCAATTCGTCGAAGGGTAAGCCACTATGTACATTTTTAATTAATGAATCTATATATAATACATCATTGGTGGCAACATAGATAGATTTATCCCACCTTCCTCTCCAATTATTTTTTGTTATCCACCTTTTTAGTATTTCGCTCTCCAAAAGATATATCGAGGGTAATGAAATCTACCCTTCGGTCATTTAGATTAATGCACCTAAACGAATATTCGATTCGATAATTTCGATTTAATATATCCGAAAAATTTTTTTTTTAGTTATTCTATATTTTCATTACTTGTTATTAGGTAATTTCATTTTTTGATATTCATGAATATTATATCAAATAGTAAAATAAAAAAAATATTCAAAATATTGTATGAATAATAATAATTTTGAGTGCAATAATTTTTCCCCCCTAGCAAATCTGCAAATGCTTTTAACCTGGTAAAAAATAATTTCCCTTACACTTTAACTATCTCTCTGAAAAAAAAAATGAAATGCAATGTCATTATAATAAATATTAATATATAAAAAATTATATAAACTATAATTTAAAATTTATCCCTAACAAAAGTATTTGAAAAAGCGGGCCTAAAGTCTAATAAAATTAATCCCAAATCCCTCTCTCCTGGGGTACACATATTCCTTTATACGTTATTTTCATATTTTGCCTAAGCTCATCTATTGTTAATTTTAATAGCATTCAGTATTACAATATACATTTTCTTAAAATGGTTTTGTGATGAGGTTTGCGAGCCTTTAAAAATTTTTGGTTTGTATAGAAGGTAATAATTTTTGTTAAAAAAAAAATTGTGAACTTAAGTTAAGACCCGGTCTCTAAAAATAGATCCGATCTCTAATGTAGAGTTAAGATTTGAAAATATTAATAATTTTTTTAAAGTAAAGGAAAAACAAATTATTTTTAGGGCACTATTAAGGACCCAGAAAGATGCGTTAATTATTTCCAAAATTTTCGACTCGGATATGGGAGGACTATTATAAAAAAAATATGTAATCATGTCTTCAATATGTTAGTTATTGTTCTGTAAAGCAAATTATAGTGAGAAAATTAAATATTATTTTCAGAAATAGATACCAATGTAAAGCTAAAATTTAAAAAAGTAACGACAGTTGTAACTTTCTGAGAATCTAGCAATGCTACTTTTATTTAAAATAGTTATTGCAATAACACTAATACTTACCAAGATTGAAGATTCATTTATTGAAATGTTCATTCATTGAATCAGCTGAAGTATGTGTTTACATGAGAGAAAAAAAAATTGAATGCAACATTCCTATTCACCCCCCCCCCTCCACCCTATAAAACAAATATATAACTCCTTCAGAAAATCTATGAATCATATGTATCCTACCACCCCAATATCATGTAAACACTGATTGTAGCCACCATGTACTTTGTTTTCTCTATGCATTTTAATGACTGAATCGCCAGTTTAAGGTTAGTTATTAATTATAAATATTATTCAGAATTGTTGACATTTTATATTTTCTCTTGAAATAAAATACTTACTAAACAAAAGCATAATGGATTGCATTCATATTTTTTAGGTGGTGTTTGTTAGTAAAATTTGATTTAATCTTAAACCAAATATAAAAATAAACAAATTTATAATCTTTCACAAGGAATCACATTAGATTTCTAAAAGTATCCGTATATTGGCATTTACTTTATCATATAATTAATATTTTCTAAAAATAATATCCTTATTTAAAATATTTTAGACATTTTGTTCATGGACTTATTACCAGGGATATAATGTTTCTAAAAGTTTTCATAGCCAACAAATTAGTGACTTGAGGACATTTTATCGTCGGAAAAAAAAATTAAATCCTAACACCATATTTTTCGATATAACTATAAGCATACCCATTAAAAATTTAGCATAAAGTCAGAATTCGATGCACAAAAATTAGATTATGCGATCATGAAATTCATTCAATCAACCTTTCAAAAATTAGATATTTTAAATTTTGGTCACAGGGGTTATTTCAGGATCCCCCATGTGACAAAAAATGTCGCATGCTTTATTTCAGTTAAAATAAGAAAAAGGGGCATTATTAGCTAAATTTATTATTTATTTTTTTTAAAAATACCATTAGAAATATCTTCAGTAATTATTTTTGTTCGAAATTTTAAATCATAGTCACATGTCATTTTTTCATCTAGCACATTTTGACTTATTCATTTTACGTACTTTCCATTTTCCCAAATAATTTATTATGTGAATAAATATAGGCACGATATTTGCTAAGATATTATATTTAAATACTTTCTACATAATTTAATTTTTAAAAATAATTGATATAAGGATCCAAATGAAACAGTTAAATCGTCACTGTTTACAAATCCTAAACTGAAATAAAGCGCTAAAAATAATTTGCCGCTTATCGAACCTTCAAAATGGCCCGCAAACTTGGTTTGAACCTTTTGCTATCCTTTCTTAAGGTTATTATAAATAAAATTTTGATTGATAGTCCATAGCAGCCCATTAGATATAATTTGAAGATGCCGGACACCCATTTTAGCGCGGTGTTCTCAAAAATTTATTCTTTCTCTCTTTACAAATCCCAATTTTACAAAAGAAAATCTTGAATAATATTTTAATCTATATAACGGGCTCAATTAGTATTTTTTTTAGGAAAAATTAATGACATATAATAATACCTAGACTGTCGATGCATTCATTAAATGCGTGCATCGAATGAAAACAGCTGCGGACATCATTTTGATTGCCCATTATCATTATTAAAAATTCGAGAGGCCAATTTATTTCTGTCTGACGCAAACTTTATTAAAGAATTGCCTGATCATCGAGATAATAATGAAGCAATATTTTTAACTAAGAGAGTAATTACTATATGGGTTTACCAAAAAGATGGGTCCAGCTGATTAGCATTCAACGACTCTTTCAAATGCATCATTAAGAATGCATCGTCAGTCTAGGTATTATTATTATATGTCATTGGGAAAATATATAATAAATTCAGATTACTTTGTCATAATTAGATATATTCGTATTAGAGATCTCTAAAGCAGCAAAAAATTATAACGAAACGGGAAATTTGTGCATAACAAGTAAAGACATGACGAGGCAATCTCTACATAAATAGTAAGGCAGGGTTTGGCAAATATCTGATTTTGCGTAAAATTTAAATAAGCCAACCCGGAAATTAAAATATTTTGATATATATTTTTTTGAATTTCAAAGCTAATATATTATTTATAAAAAAATTATCTATTATGAAATTTAAATTATAATATACGAATTTCTTTGTAATTTAAGAAGAGTCTAACTAAAATTTATAAAGAATATAATAAATTTACTAAAAAAATTAAACAAGTTATTTATGATATGATCCAATTGCAAATATATATAATACAAGATATCAACTAAATTGATTTTTAAAAAAGTTGTTGTGGAAAGATGTAAGGGCCTGGGAAAAAATTAGATAATAGATATTAAAAAAGTAACTGCCAGAGAATTATTACAAAAAAATTTCGTAAAATATAACGAGCTGAGACGGGCAAATTTTGCAAAAATTTTTAATGCAGATCTCTAATTTGTATGTCTAGAAGTTTGAAAACAAATACCTAAATTTACCCTCCTACCGATAAAATAACAAAATATTTTTCTTACTACCCACTAGAAGTCCTACTGCATACTTCCTAAAAAATATATGAAGATAAATGGCTCCAACACCCCCCCCCCCCCCACTTTCCCCGTAGACTCTGAATTTATGTTTGTATGGGTATTAGTATTAAAAAAATTTTAAAAAATATTTTTATTACACCATTCCAATATAAGTTTAACCGTGAAAGGGTTAGAACCGAGTTATAAAAGGTTCAAACCGAACCTTGAACTATTATTTTGTAATGGTTCGAATCTCTGAATCACAAATATGATAAAAATAAAGATAGCATAAATAAATTCATTTCTACCTACTATTAAATATTATTAATAAACTTGATTACTGAGTAAAAAATGTGAAAGAAAATAAAAATGAGGTTGTAAAATGTAGGAAAAATAAAATTTACAAATATTTGATTGGATATTTGATCTGAAAAAAAAACTCGGCCCGAAATTTAATTTAATAAATTTAAATAAAATGGCGACTCATCTCTTTTTTTTTAAAAAAATAACTAATTTTTTTAAAAGTTTGTGTTACTCGTTACTCAAAAAGTATAGAATGAACATTACTTTCTTTCATCGATGTAACTTTATAGTAACTGCTGATAAAAAAAAAATATAATAATAAACATAACAAAAATTGCAACCAAAGTGTTCTCTCATTCTTTATATATATATAAGTTTTTAAAAAAAAGGATGTAAATATCGATACTTTTGAAGCTAATAAACTGACTGTCGATATAAATAATATAAAATAAAAACACAATTAAGTAAATATTAATAAATTGTATCCCACTTATATTACAGATTTCCTCCTTCCTCCCCTAGTTTTTTTTTTAAAAAAGTATTATCCTAAAAATAGTAATTCATAATAATTAGAGTTTGATAATTTTTCCAGAGTCGCGCCTGCGTATTATCAAAATATAACCACATTATCTTTTAAATAACAAAAAAATCTAACATTAGATGTTAAATATCGCCATTTTGATCGACGGACGAAATACAACAATATCTATTTAATTTTCTTTTTACAAATCATTACAATAATGTTTCTATTTCTTCTTCTTAAATTTGTGGGAAAAAATACTCTACTTAAATACAAAAAATAAAATGTCAGTTATAATACGAAATAAATATTTGTGTATTTTTTTTTAAATCTAAGTCTGAGCATTTGATTATTTTGGTAAAATAAAAATTGGAATATTTTTTCTAATAAAAAAAAATCTCAGGTTGAATCCTCGGCGGAATCGAAATACTGGTTGAGGAGCGGCAAATTTTTATTTTCCACCCGCGCGTGATTTCCAGAATTTTGGTTAACGGATGACGGGTATTTTTTTAAATCGGTATCGCCATCTTTAGCTATTTTTTGGTTTTGGTCGGTGGATGGGGCCTCGCCTATCATATCGTCTATGATGTATTTTTCTAGGCTCGATCTGTGTTCCGATTTTTCCGCCGATTTCACACTTCGCCCTCTTCCGTAAGAGGGGGTTGAACGACCACTGACCGTCGAATTACTTGAACGCGATCTTTTCCTACTACCGCGAAAACTCTTACGACTTCCGGAGCTACTGCGAGAACTATCGGACGAGGAGGAATTCGAAGAGCTACTAGTGTACCTTTTCTTGCTTCTTTTGTGTTTGCGGCGTTTATGACGACTCTTCCTATCGAATTCTCGTTCGATCATAAATTGCGTGAGCCTATTTTTGGCTTCCTTGGAAATGGGTTTCAGGTGCATGAAGTTACAAAAATTGCCCCTTTCACAATTTCTGGCGATATTTTTCAAAAAAAAAAGTTTATTCATTTTAAGTAAAATAATTTTGGCTTTATATTGCAAATAGTTTTTTAGAAAAAAATAAAGGAAGGAAATTTTAAAAACATACCAGAAGCGATAGAATTATAAATGAACCATAGTTAACAACTTTCTTAAACTGGTTAAATTAGATGTAAATTTAAATTTTAGGAACAGTTTGCAAAACTGTTTGCTGTGGCTCGATTTTTATTTTATACTAACATTGAAATGCAGGATGTAAAGGATATGATCCTTTGTTTAATAAAGAATATTCTGATTGCAACTGAATATTAACTGCATGAAGTAGTTTTCCTACATGTAAAACGAATCCCAAATATGCTTCTGCCATTTCATACTATAAAAAATTTTTCAAAATTTTAGGACAGCTTTTAAAATCTCTATCTAAGAAGTATTTTTTTAAGGGTTTGTAAAATTTTAAAATTCTATCGATGGCAGGTATTAATGACACCTACCTGATAGGTATATATCGCAACAACTCGCACCATTCCAAGTCAGACCACTTCACCAACTCTTTTAATTCATTAACTCTTTTAGTTGGTGAACTAAATTCGTTAAAACATTTTATCACAATTATCTCGACATCCACAGATAGTACATTCATTGCCTTCTTGGAAGAATTATTTAGTATATGGCATATACAGCCATTTAGTATTAATTCAATATTATGCTGCCTCAATTCAGTAACTTTGGTTTTTGCCAAAATTTACAGAGGCATTATCAGCGCAGAAAGCTATCATGTAAATCATTGATAACCCTGAATCAGCTATATTTACCCTTATGTGGCTAGCTACATCGTTGAATTTTTCACTACCCGAGGAAAATATTTTAACAGTTTTATTGAAATGTTCTTATTCTTGTTGAAATAGTGAAAGATCGAGGGAAATATTTTCATATTTCCCTTATTAAATGCATCTGTGAATTGCATATGGATGTCCATTTTTCAAAACGTCTATAATTAACCTCTAGAATTCAGGTACTAAAACACTTGTGATAACCTTGCTCATTTTTGTTCTGCCACAAGTAAGGTTTGCACTTATATTGGAGTCGTTAAATATCATGAGAAAAGATTCGACCCACTTTGTGATGATATAGCTCTGTGAATGTTGAACTACATGTTAGATGTATACGATTTCCAAAAATGTAGTTGCATCTGTATTATTTATTATTTTTGAGAATATTTTTGTATTGCAATCGATGTTGATATAATCCCCTCTACTGACTTATATGAATGAAATGATGTTGATTTATTATTGGATAAAAATAAAACAGGATAGAAAGAAATTTACAAACTAGATATGTTTTCGAATAAATATGTATAATTTATTTTAAAAATATAAAAATAATGAATTAATGTCTCTCAAAATTATTATTTAAAGATTAAAAACGTTAAAATACTAAAAAAAAAAAATTGCGGTAGATTTTTGCGGGAGATTTCTAATTGCGGTATTTTGCGAAAGAGAGATAACTGCGTGTAAACTAAAAAATTGCGGGAGTCTCCCGCTGATAGAGGGAAACATGGCAACCCTGTTCCTATATCTCCATTTATATTTGAATTAAGTTTAGCTAAAGTTAAATATTATTTGTATATAAATCATAGTCGTCTCTAGCCTCTACAATCTCAGGAGGGGGCTCAACTAAAAAAATTTCATGTGGTGCAAAGCCCCCATACCCCCTAATTGGCGGACCTTCTACCCGCTTTTGCCAGGCTTTCGGCAGGGTTTTATATTAATATATTATATTTTTAAAATTTGTTAACTCTGAACATCTGAATTTTCTATTTTGTCATTAATTATATTAAGCATAGAAAATAAACTGGCATATAAATAATTTTAACAATAGAAGACATTTCTAAAAGTAATATTTTTTGATACTAAATCTATTTATTACAATGTATAATATTTTCGATTGCTGATATAAAAAATTTTTGCGTCTTAACAAGTTATAAAAAGGTTAATTAATTCATACATATGCCTCAATTGATAATGGTTTTTAAAAAAACCACATAATATAATATAATTTTTATCAACTTAAATTGACAGAAGGTTATGTAACTTATATAATATAACTCTCTGTTACCATTTTAGACAATGTTTTATAGAATGGACTAATATGAAAAAATTTATAGGCCTAACCAAATCAACAATTCTTGAAGAAGTATAAACAACCAATCCAAATCATAACACTATATGATGGTTAGAGCTTCCCTTTAGATGACATGATGGAAACTTAAGTAATCGAGAAAATGATTGTGAGATATTAGATTTTTAAAAGATTTTTAATGATATATAAACGACTACACAGTTGACCATTTTGCTTATTTAAAATATGCAATCATATGCTCTCAGCAGTTGTAGTAATAATCTTAAATTACATAGCCACACAAATAATAGATGCTGATTAATTTGCAGTCATAGCCATGACAACGATGTTAACTCATACAGAATTTATTATGTTAGATAAATTTATAAAACAAAAACATTAAAAATCTTTAGAAGAAATTTTGCAAATATATTGAAGCTTTGAGTTATTTACAAGGCAAGGATGCCATATTAGAAATGAAACATTTTATAACTATAAAATAAGAAACAGAGTGATCTGATGAAAGCAACTAGGATTTTATATATTATTGTCTCACCACCTTCAGTTGGTATATTATATCTTATATTAATAGAAGTTTGAAATAATATTAAAAATATACTCGTATTAATAATTTAACTCAAAACTGTTTTTCAAAGAAAGAAAAAATAGCTTTCCCTGAAAACACGTAAAAAGGAGAAGAAAAGTTATTTAATTTATTACATCCATCGCGGGATGAATAATAAGATACATTATTTTTAATAATATTTTTTAATAAATCGCTGGCGTTTAAAAAATGAATGCAAATTGTTATTTATATTTATTATCAAAAGCATATATTAGTTAAATATATTAAAATATGAACTGTAATATATTATATAACTGTCAAATACGTCTGTAAAAGTGGCATTTTACCTAATATTTTATAAACAATTATATATAATCGAGGATTATAAACTATATGTCTACTTACTTTTTATAAAGAAATCTCTTATACTTATTAGTAGGACCTTGGAAATATTTTTAGAAAGAGACATGGTAATTAAATTTAAAAATAAATAATATAGTTGATTAGGACTAGTGATTTTGAACTCGGTTAATTACAATATTAAATTTGTTAATTTTCAATTAATAAATGTTTATATTTATTTAATTAGGGTTTTATAATATTTAAATAATAAAAGTCAATTAAGCTTCAGCTGTTAATGCTAAGTATATATTTAGTTAGTGATATTGATATTCTAATTTTAATACAGAATTTGATTGAAAAGCAGACATAGTGAAAATATAATTTATATGTATAGTAATCTAATCTAATAATTAAAATAATAATTATTTAATAAAAATTTAAATAGTCTTATTAATTTTTAAATAATAAAATGAAATCTATATATTACTTAATAGAATTAAAATAGAAATCGCTCAGGGAGCAATCAAAAAAATTTATTCTTAGTTCAAGGGGATAAGATTCCTTTAAAAAAAATTTTTTTGCTTCAGGGGACTATTCAAATTTTTCAAGGGGCTCGAGCCCCTGAGGGCCCTCTCCTAGTGCCCCAATGATATAAATAATATACTCGTATTTTAATTTATTTTTGACTCTGAGCGTTTAAAAATTTTTGCATATTCATTTATAATATATCTGTATTTGCTTTATCTCAAATATGTCTTAATAAAAATTTCCGACTTATATGAAAAATTATTAATTGTCAAGTTCAAATTATATAAGTATAACGTAATTCTCTTTAACCCTTAACTGTTTTATGGATAATGGAGGCATAAAAAACAAAACCTCAAGAATTTTGAATACTAACTACAAAAAAAATATATATTGATTTTGACTTGATAATTCAATCATTTTTAAGATATGAACACTTTTTGGAGGTAACACGCAGATTTTTTAAAATCTAGATTTAAAAAAAATTAATTCATATTTGAAAGTAAGTTAATACGAATATTATTTAAATAACTAAAATTAAGGCCTCGTGAAGACTCCTGGTAGCCAGGAAGGAAAATAAGTTAGGCAACACTTTAGAGAATCCACAATTCACCTAAGCTAAAAACAAATCGTAAAATGATGATCTTAGTCAATTTATAAATGGGATTCGTGAACAAGTAACATGGAATATCAATTAAGTAATGATTGTAGTGCTGAAAATATTTGTCAGAAAGCGAATTTGTCGTCGTTCATTAAAAAATGTCCTATTTAGTTTTTATTTTGTACGATACCTATTGAGAAAAATAAATATTCGAATTTCGGCATAAAATTCTATGACTAAGATGCCTGCCAAGTTCGGTCCTCAAGTCCCTTTCTCTAATAATCCCGGAGCCACGAACAACAAAAATTGAATAAGCTTTTATTTAACTTTCATTCACAAAAAAAAGGAACATTGAAAAATTCGTAAACGCATTTATTAAAATCTACAACTAAAAAACATGCATATAATTGTAAAACATGAAAGCCGTTGAATCCAATGTATAAAAATATTTAACACCGGTAAAATATATTAATATAAATGAATAATATTTTTTTTTCAAAAAAATTTTATTAATATTTAATAATCGTTAGGCTAATAACGCCTTTGGCAGGAGTCGAAGATGGAATTGCTATGTTTCATCTAATGAATAAGGATTTTATTTAGGAAACAATTATCTATCTTTTTTTTTGATAAACAATCTTCTTCTAAATTGTTTATTAATTAATTCATCGTGTATAAAAGGAGAATTGAGAAACGACATTTTATTTCTTACCCCCCTCATCACTTCCTACCGATTTTCTAATACGATACTAGTTTTATATTTTATGATTTTTATTTGTGGAAGCAGGATCCAAGGTCAACAGATGTATACAT